GATAGCGAGCTCATGACCAATGCAACGGGAAAAGGATTACCAGTTAGTTATGATTCCCGAGGCAGGCTCGAAAAGAAATTACTCTAACTCTATTCACGAGTTTCTAAGTTGATGTGGCCTATTAACCCAGGCCACATTTTTTATTTCTCCCCGTACATAAATACATGCATTTCTCCATCTTTCGTGATATATCCACGAAACATGCCTGCTGTATTAAACGGCATCGACATATTTCCTTCAGCGTCAAGGGCGATAACACCACCTTTTCCACCCATTTGGCTTTGCTTTTTAATCACCTCTTGAGTTGCTTCGGCTACAGATTTATTCGTGTAATTCATTAAGGCACACACATCATACGCCACTACATTTCGAATAAAATATTCTCCATGTCCCGTGCACGAAACACCACACGTTTCGTTATCGGCGTACGTTCCGGCACCTATCACCGGTGAGTCTCCAACACGATTGTATCGTTTATTGGTCATTCCACCCGTCGATGTTCCAGCTGAAATATTTCCTTCCTGATCTAGTGCGACAGCTCCCACTGTTCCGTATTTCTTGTCCAGCACAAAATCATCGTTTCCATCATTTTTGTCATCAACACTTCCACGATCACCATCATGATCTAACTCCGATTTCTCCTTTTCCTGAATTCTCTTCAATTGCTTCAATCGTCGCTCACTCTTGAAATAATCAGGATTCACCATCTCAACTCCTGTTGTCTTTGCAAACTTCTCAGCGCCCGAACCAATTAACAACACATGCTCCGATTTTTCCATCACTGCAAGCGCTGCATCAATTGGGTTCTTCACCGTTGAAACTCCAGCCACAGCACCAGCTTCTTTATTTTTCCCTTCCATAATGGAGGCATCCATCTCTTGTGTCTCATGGTTCGTGTACACCGCACCCTTTCCAGCATTAAACAGTGGAGAATCTTCCATTACATTAATTGCTGCTCTAACTGCTTCGGTACTTGTACCATTATTTTTCAGTACCACATACCCAGCCTGCAACGCTTCCTGCAACTTTTCCTGATATGCTTTCTCTTTTTCCGGAGTCATATTCTCTTTCAAAATCGTTCCAGCTCCTCCATGGATAACTAAAACGACATTCGATGCCTCCTGTGCTTGAATAAATGATGCTGTCATAATCAGTAA